CGGCCGATGCCGATATTTAAAAAAATGCCAAATATCGGCCGATATATCGGCCTTGGTGATATATCGGTCGACCACTATTCTCAACTAGCCTAGTTTTGATTCAAGCTTTTTTTTCCTCCCTTTTAACAGTTGATCATATTAATTTTTAATTTATTTATTTATTTCATTAATTTTGCTTTATTTTATTGTGTTTTATTATTTAACAGTGATTATTCCCTGTCAGAACAGAACTGTTTTCCACCCGTGGAAAGCCACTGATCTTGAGCCACATTGGCGAGTTCAGCAAATTGAGTTCTCTCATGTGACATGTTCCTCAATTAGCCTAAAGTGTTGAGGGTCTAAATTTGTCTTCTGAAAGTGTGAGGTTGCTGATAACATTTTTAGATTGATGTTACTGATGCTGAAGTGTAAGCTGGGTTTTATGGTCGTTTCCAACTTTAATGGATGAAGAATATGGAGGGTTTCTCTCTGACACGATAGTGTCTAATGGGTGTGGGACATCTTGTTTTACAGGTGTCTTCAGGAGGAATAATTCCAGACTCATGGAGGAGATCCTGAAACAGCAGCAGGAGCTTTTGGGAATGGACAGTTCCAAATACTCGGTGGAGTTTATGAAGAACGGTACAGATAAGCAAGAGCATCAAGGTGAGGCTCAAATCCTGAGAAAATGACTGTTGCTTTTTGTTTGAGACGCCCACTGTGGGTGGGCACCTGTACAAACAGGTTGGATCAGAATATTTTGTCTAGTATGATTGCAGGTTTTTGTTTGTTTAGGATCTCTGTAATGGATCACAATGATAGTTGTTTATACCTTTTATCTGTTTTCATGGCTTGGGTTTGGAAAAGCAGGTTAATTCACTACAGGCTTTGTGGGAAAACTTTTATGCCGTTTTTGTCTGAAAAGATTCATTTTTGCCGACCTCTGTAGGTCAGGAAATTGGTTTTATTTTTCAAAATATGCCTTGAGCAAGTCATCTTTTGAGGACCATATGAAACCCAATCCAGAGTGATACATAGGAAAACCGGTTTTTCTTATTGTTTTACACCTAAGCTATATATATTTTCGGGCTCAATAATAAGTACTTTTTTCAATAATAAGTACTGATCCAGTTGGACTAGTTGTTCATGCCAACATATTTATACTTTTCAAAAGTTTGTGGTCAGTAAAACAACTGTTTTCAGAATTGATGATAATAAGAAATGTTTCTTGAGTACCAAATCAGCAGCTTTGTAACTTTGTGTGGACTTGTTCACAAAATGTATTTAGCTCTGTCTCATCACACACATCTGACTTTAGCGGAAAGACTGTGAGTTCATATTTAGTCACTTGTTCTGATTTACTCAATTTCTAAATGGAATATAGACTATGCATCACCCGGGTGTTTTAGTCTTTGTAAATGTTGTCCACACTTTACTTAATAAATTAAAGTAATTTTTTTTCTGTCTTCTATAGTGTTATCTTGTCAGTCAGTGGTGAAGGTCTTATCTCCAGATGATGGGCGGCTCAGTATCGTCCAGGCAGCCCAGCAGCTCTGCCGGGCCGTTGAGCAGAAGGAAAAGACATCCAAAGACATTAACGTCACTGTGCTGGACTCATTACTCAGAGGTGAGGTTACAGCATGTCTGTTAGCTGACTAGCACAAACCCGCAGTTAAATATGACATTTAGTCCCGTAATGTTATGTATATAAATGCTTAAGGACAAATATGTGTTAGTCTTTGAAAAAATTGTGCAACCACAGGTACAACCACATTTCTGCATAATTGAAAATGCTTTCTATTATTTTGACAAATAAATAAAATAAAGGATCCGGTCAATTATTTTCCTTTCTTCAGTGAATGCTGATAGGGATTACAAGTGAAGAGAAGGGGAAAAAATAAAGTTTTCAAAGTGCCTTATGAGGGATTTCAAGTGTATGCCAGTGAAATAATTTGTGGGATATTTTTTGTTGTATTGTAGTGATGTTGTCTTCATCACAGTACAAGAGCAGAATAAATAGAAACACTTTTAGAGCTGTGAAATCTGATAATAAAAAAAAATATCTGATATCAAACACATTGAAAATGCCAAACAGTATAATATTTCACTGACTGTTTATATGGTAATTTGACATTTCTTTATAGATGCAATGATTTAAACCTTTGATTTTTCAAATAAATAGACATTTTTTTTGTGACTGAATCAATTAAATAAAACTTAGTCGTTTCACCAAACTCACTCTTGTAAATTGACATTTTAATAAATATTGGGTCATATTAAATATTAATAATATAAATTATATACTAAATTGTATTACAAGATATTTATCTTAATATAATATTTATTATTATTTATAATATATAGTTACAATAATGTATCAAACCAAAATCTGCTTACAAAAATGGAATAGTATATATCTGTATCAGGAACATGATCATGTCAGATAACAAGGAGGCACAATGGAAAATATACTATTCAGGCCATCAGAGTGATGAAGAATATTTATAGCACAAGCTCTGATTGCAACAGTATGAGCATCATCGCTTCTTTGTGATTGCAGCTCGCTGAGCTCACTCTTCCTGGAGGATATGAGAGACAGATCTGTTATTCGGGACCTTTTTTGCTTTTTCTATGGTCTCCAGGATCTTCTCGGTTACCATAAGAGCCTGTTGTGTTCTCATTATTCATCTTCAGAAGCCCCTCAGGCTTTTTCCACTGAAGCCTGTTTTTTTTCCCCCCTGTGCAGAGTCAAAGAACATACCAGACCCAGACCTGGTGCTGAAGTTCGGCCCTGTGGAAAGCACACTTGGGTTTCTTCCCTGGCACATCAGACTAACAGAGATTATGTGAGTATGTGTATGCATCGATGTAATTGAGCAAGCACAAACTATACAGAATGCAGGCAAGTTCTTAAACCATAAAACGCGTTTTGCCTTGTACAGAACATTTTAAGATTTCTTCTTTTTGGTCCTTTCCTCTGGCTTTCTGCACGTCTTAAAGTCTTAATTCGTTCATCCACAAATTAAGGCCTTAAAAATGTCTTAAGTCGGAGCAGAATGTCTTAAATTCATAAAGTCGTTGCATGCATTGCAAAAAAAGAATATCTTATTTTTTTTGTCTTGTTTTTCCAATACAAATCATTTCCAAGAAATAATGAGGGATTGGTCGCAGAAAGTGTGTGCTTTGACATAATTCCGTTCATATTTCTGTGAGTGTGTGTCAGTGCGTACGGTGGCATTTTGCCTGGAGAGTTTACTTAAATCCTTTCGCGTGATTATCAGCACAGATTAACAACTAAACCCGTCCACGCTGACACTTATCTCTGGAAGCTTTCCAAGCGTGTGTGATGACGTGAACAGCTCTGTGAGATCACTGCACACATGCAGACTTTCACCGCATTGCATCATACAACCATCATCAGCGTCCTGCAGTGTGATAGACTCCATCTTAACTCTTTTAAACACCAATTTCTTGCCTAATTAATATGCATGGAGTTTTTACCATATCAGATTGTGAATGATAAATGCGCTGTAACTAATATAATTAAAGGTTAAACAAATGTAAGGCATGTACACAAAGCAGCTAAAAATACAATTTTCGTTCTATATATATTTTAACCCAAAATCTTGATGTTGGGTGAAAAAGCACAAATTCATATGCTTCCACTTTTAAAATTATATAACATGTCCTGTCGACTTATCTTAAGAAGCAGAATTTAATAGAGAAGGAAACCTGTATTTTTCCTTTTCAGTGATAATTGAAAAATGTATTGAACTAATGGAAAACGTAAATTTGCATTGTTCAACACCGTACGGTTTTTGTGTTTCTCTGAGTTTCCACTAGATGGCAGTGTGTTACTGCACAGATTCACTGCATTATTAGCTAACTTGATCCTTTAGTTTCTCATCCATGTATCACGACACATTCAATCTTCCATGAAGCGCCAAACAGGAAATCTGAATATATAAATGCAAATTGTGAATATATAGAAGTAAATCAAAATATATTTTTATAAATCTGAATTTATAAATGTGAATCACAATATAAAAGATGCAAATCTGAATATATAAATGTAACTCAGTATATGTAGTTGAAAGTCTGAATATAAAAATAAAAATCTTAGTATATAAATGTAAATAATTAATATATAGAAGTAAATCTGAATATATAGTTATAAGTCTGAATATATAAATGTAAATTGTGAATATGTAGTTATAATTCTGAATATATAAATGTAAATTAATATATATAAATGTAAATCATGAAGATGGTTATTATTCTGAAAATATAATTAAATCGGAATGTATATATTTAAAAATCCTGAATATATGTTCTCTATATCTCTTCTTTATTGATTTATTTTTTTATTTTTTAAAGAAAACAGAATGCCTGTACATCCTGCATACATGTATCAGTGCAGATATTGTACTATATTCATCATTGCATAATTAATGCATATCACTTATCTAAACCAAAGGAAGTATTTTCCTTGAAAAAAGGCAGTGGGGCCAAAAGATCTTCACAGTCAGTGACAGTGTTAATACCTAGCTTTCTAGACAATTCAACATGGCTGAGAGGGCTGAAACATAATCTGTTTACAAGTACTGTTTTTGAGACAATTGCAGCAGCATGTGATAGACAGTAATAATTAATATAGCACAATATCTCCATTGATACATGTACAGGATATATAGGCATACTGTTTTCATAAAAAAGCATTAAGAACTTATGTCTACTGACATGCCTAATAATATATACTTATATTAAGATTCAGACTATATATTCAGATTTTCATTTATATATTCAAGATTTATAAATATGCATTCCGATTTAGAATTAAGTAGTCAGAAAAAATAACTATATTCACAGTTTACATTTATTTATTCAAACCTATAACTATATTGTCGAATTTGCTTCTATTTATTAAGACTTTAAAATATATATATTCGGATTTACGTCTATACATATGTTCATGATTTACATTTATTGTTTTGTGTCTGTATATTCAGATTTATATCTATATATTGCAATGTACATTAATATAATCAGAATTATAACTACATATTCACAGTTTACATTTATATATTCAGACTTATAACTATATATTAAGATTTACTTATTTATATGTTAATTCATGATTTACATTTATATATTAAGATTTTTGTCTTTATATTCTGATTTAGATTTATATATTCTGATTTACTTCTATATATTCAGACTTACAACTATACATTCTGATGTACATTTATATATTCAGATTTATAAAAAATATATTCAGATTTATTTCTATATATTCACAATTTACATTTATATACTCCAACTTTTTGCTGTTTGGCGCTTCATAGTCTTCTAAGCCTTGGATGGTGTTTGTCTGGTACACATCTGTAGACTGTTAATCAGGGCTGTTTTAAAGTAATTAAAATTATGTTTTTGATTTTTGAAAGTTTAAGTGATTGCACAAAATTGATTTACAATTATGCACCTACATTTCAAGTATATAATTAGCTACATTTTAATTATATCAGCTCAACTACCCTGAGGAAACTGAGATAACCCAGCCACGTCTAATCTTGTTCATTCCACGAAAAGGAAATGTGTGCATTTGGACTGAAATCAGGGAGTAATATTTTTTAGAGAATGAGTACTTTTATATAGCAAAGGCACATTAATTTGATTAAAAATGACAGTAAAGACATTTATATTGTTACAAAAAAATTCTGTTTCAACTAAATACTGTTCTTTTGAATCCTGAAAACATCTGTCATAGTTGGGCTGCTTAATATTTTTGTGGAAACTGTTTGCAACATTGATAATATTAAGAAATGTTTCTTGAGCAGCAAATCAGCATATTAGAATGATTTCTGAAGGATCATGTGACACTGAAGACTGGAGTAATGATGCTGAAAATTCAGCTTTGATCACAGAAATAAATTACGTTTTAAAATATATTAGAATAGAAAACCATTATTTTAAATTGCAATAATATTTTACATAATATTTTTTGTGTAATTTTGATCCAGCCTTGGTGAGCATACGTTCTTTTTTAAGCTTTTTGAATTTTTTTGAATTTAGTTTTTATTTGATTCTGTATTCTGTACTGCACATAAAGGTTTAGATTTAGTTAAAAATCATGAAATGCAGCTGAAGCAATATTTGATAAATATCCAATTAATCAATAGTTTTTTTTATTATTATTTGTTCCCCCCCCCCCAAAAAACCCAACATCTTTTTAAAAACCTATTTAAGGAAATGAAGGCCATCATTAAAATGAGTTAAAAGAGCAAAAGTTATAACCAATAATATTTTTGCTAGTGGGATCTCCATCACGTGCGTTCTTTCACATTGAGCAGCATTTTACGCAGCTTGTCAGTGAACAACGGCTCTGTGTAGTAAATGCTGTTCAATGTGAAAGCACACACGTGATGGAGATTTACCGCTAATTACAGAACTGGTTTTACTGACAAGATGCGCATTAAATATCGCATGCGATTTATCATGCAGCCCTAATTCTGAAGTATTCATTCTCTCTCCATTTTTCTCTCCTCTCCACCTGTAGCTCCATGCCGTCCCATGTAGACGTCTCTTACGACGACCTGTTTGGTGCTCTGCAGCGCTATGCGATGTGCGATCAGCGGTTGGGCAAGTGAGGAAGAGTCCGCAGAGAGCAGAACAGAAGGAACTGAATGAGCGAGAGGGGATGGAGGGGGTCCGTCCATCTCTTCATGTTTACAGTACAAGCACTGGAGCCTCAGCGCCAGCAACCCGCTGCTGCTGCTCTTCTCTGCCGCATCATCTCTGCTCTTCTCCGCCAAGGCCTGCCGGGCGTCTCTCTGTGTGTATGTGTGTGTGTGATTATACTTGTGCATTTGTGTATGTGTGAGTCTCCCATGAGTAACTACACGCTGAAAAGGACGCAAGCGCTGCCTTGCGATGTGGCCACCAGCAAGCCGGTTGCTCATATGGTGTAAATTTACCATCATTTTTTTTTACTTTCCCATATCTTTGGACACTTTGGTATGGTGGCAGTTTGTAAAAGTGCACTGAACTCTACAGAAGTTAGTGTTACTCTAGTGTGACTTCACGGCAAACGAGAGCCCTTGGAGAGAGAAATGCGCTTGTAGTTGCATAGCTGCTTTCAGATGGCGCAAACGTGCGAGAGATTTCTATTCGACGAATCTTCTGCATGCCGAATCTGTCTTTCTGCAATGTCATGCTCCCATTAAGGCTTAACAAGCTCTCTTAAATGGTTATGTGTGTTTATTCGTAATTGTGTTGTATGAATATGCACGTGCGTGCCACAAATGACAATAATTCGCATTAAACCCTGAAGTTTGTCATTCTAAGTGCGCAAATTGACTGCTCTACATCGTTCCCCCCGAAAGCTCTCGCCGTTTGTAATGGCTTGTGGTGCTAATTATGTTTTTATTTGATTTTTATTTGTCATCAGTAAATATTGTTTCATTCAGACGTCTGTTATTTTTCTCTGTCATTGTCTCTATGCATCAGAAATGTTTCACATTAATATTTCGTGAGATCCGTGATTGTTTTTTTTTCATAAAATGCCACAGGCTTTTCATCGTTCTGCTTACCAGAAGAAGTCTTAAATGTGTAATTCATGGGTTGCCGTTGGAAGGGTTGGTTTGCTAGTGTCCAGCGTGAATGTATAATAAACGCTACTGGAATCCTTTAACAGTAGTTGTGTTGAGAGTGGCATTGATTCTTCTGAGGTGAAGTCGAAATGAAAAGAGGAATGATTTTCTGTTGCAGCTTCACTCACACACTTCCTGCTTCTGACTGGTGTGTGATTTTTCTTTTAACTGATTCTTCTGGCTGGCACTTTTATCCAAAGTGACTTGCGTTCAGGCTATATATTTTACCACTATGTTGCTTGGGAATTGAACTCATGGCATTGGCATTTCTAGAACATACTCTAACAGTCACAGGAACTCTGTTGGTATATTGGCTACATCATAAATAATTCTTCTGCAATTCGTCTACCTATAATTCAGCTCGATTCAGCTAAGGATGATGATCTCAATCTCCAGAATGTACAAAAAAGTACATCATCTTTAATGTATTACATATTTTATTTGGAAAAGCTTTTCCATAATTATTTATTGCTATTTTTCATGTCACTTAGATTTCTTTTCATATTTTTTTCTTCTACATGAATTCATATGCATTTGGTTCACAAATTGCACTTGCAAGCAAGAAGGGTTTATTGCCTTAAGCCTCTTACAGAATCTACTTTCCATTTTTTTGTGTCTATAAAGAGTAAATAAAAGTGAGTTTCATTGTAACAATTTCATGTAAGTGGCTGAACAGGAAATACATGACGACTTGATAACTAATGATAGCTGCACTGAGGGACTCTTCTGAGAAAATGTTTGTCAAGATGTTTGGGAGTATCTGAAGAACAAATCGTTGTGACCTGCCTTTGAACATTAGGAAAACATTGTATCTTGTATACAAGTTATCCTGATTGTTGTAGGTGAGTAAATGTGAGGTCTGGTATGGAACTATGTCTTATTAATAAATCCATATTTTGCCATTGTTTTAAATTATGATGAAAAATGAGCAGACAGAAGATTTGCCATACTGTGTGAAAAGTACTGCGTTATCAAATGAGAGATGTTATGCAAGTCTGTTATGTAAATTATATAAAGCAATATTAAATGTATTATATAGTTAGTTTCCTTTGAAATTGTATATATTTTTATAAAAAGTTTTGTTTCCTGTAAAATTCCATATTAAAGGAATTGTTCACCCAAAATTGGAAATTAATGTACTTACCCTCAGGCCCTCATGCATGATTATGGATTTGTAATTTGGCTGGAAGCGACGGTTAAAACCTCTTAATGATGGATTTGTTTCTTACAAAAATGCAGCTTTTCACTTCACAAGACGTTAATTGATGGACTGGAGTCGTGTGGATTACTGTGATGTTTTTATCAGCTGTTTGGACTCTCATTCTGACGGCACCCATTCACTGCAGAGGATCCATCGGTGAGCAACTGATGTAATGCTAAATTTCTCCAAATACTCCTTTAAGACCTAAAAGCAGTTACAAGATGCACATCAGTCAGAAAATGTGGGGTTTTTTTCAGGCGTTCAATTTTTTTATTATTATTTTATTTAATAAGGTTAAAGCTGAATTTTCAGAAAATCATATTTTCCTACCTCAGGCCCTAAGTACCTGGACATTTCAAAATGCTTTGGAGTTGAAGGTCAGTGCAAAAATACAGCAAATATAATATTATGAAATGCATAATATGATGAAATATGATGTCAGAAAGGTCAAACTCTTATTCTAAAGGGTGGGTTGTCATAACGGGGTTGAAGGCTTCTCTTTAGAAAAAAACGTATAAATTCAATATTAGAAAAATGTGTATAGGCCATTCAAATATGGAGACAAGCCAAGCCATATTACCAATAAAGCATGTAATTATTTAATTATTAATATTTTTTATTTTTATATATATATATTTTTTTAAATATTGTCAAATGTTTTTAATTAAAAAAAATATTTTAATTAAAAAATATTTTTATTTTATTATATTATTTTTTATTATACATTGAACAGTTATGTTTATAATGTGAATATAATTTCAGTAGTATGGTGCAGATTGCATCATTCCCTAAAAATGACTTCCTTCACTGTCTAATGAAATGTAAACAATTTGTTTAGTCGAGGAATACAGTATCCAAATGAGTCTTAAGTCTTGTAGCTTTTTGGTCCCACTGTTTTACTAAAATTGAAAAATCAAACAAAGCAAACCAACAAACAGAATTTCATTGAGCATGATACGGGCGTATTTATTGATAGTGGATTAAGAACTTATCTGTGTCTGTCTGAATGACCTTTAGTGTTTGTTATATGGAGTTTTTTGTTAAAAATCCTTTGTTCTTTTTTTTATTGTACATGTTTCCAATAAAGCACAAGTCCGTGTGGACCTTCAGTCAGTCGGAGAAAGGCATCGACCGCCTCTTTAGGTGATCCACCCCCCGAAGCTAATAAGATAAATATTGCAGCACGATAACACCTTGAATAGAAACAAATCAATTTGATCACCAGAGCATATTGAACTGAGGTGCTTAGAAAGCATAATTCAGACCTGCCTACAAAAATAACATCTCGTAGTGGATTAGCCAAAGTCTAAATTATCATTAGGTTGTTTCAGGGAACACACAACAGTCGGGATGCATTAGCAGACACATAAATCCACTCAAGGACCTGCTTTATGAGCTCTGCAGTTCCCTCGTTTTTGTTGATTTGAATTTGTGCCTATTTATAGTACAGACATTGCCAGGTCGTTCTCTTGTAATAGGGTGTTTGTCTCCTGCTGCTCGACAAAGCAGTCATGCTCCAGTCACGGGCACTCAGCAAAGGAAATAGATAAAGGCTTCTTTATAAATCAGCAGTCTTCAGGCTGCATGAAATTTTAAATGGATTTTGCACCCGATAGTCTTTCAGTCAAGAAATCAATTGTATGATATTTGCTGTGTTTGGAATAGCATACTAACTACTACTATTATGTACACTGGACACATTTCTGTTTGCATAAAGAACTACTACCAATATGGGCAGTATACAAGCAAGCTCACTGCCAGGAATAATGTATCCCACAATGCAATGCACTCAACTTGACCTTCCATTTCCTTTGTGATGAATGGACCAGGAGAATTAGAAAATCTTGAAACTCATGAAATATTTTTGATTTCATTTGTAAAAGTATTGCACACAGTGTGGTCTGTTGTATAACAGAACCATTGAGTAATATTGCGTGGCATTTCTGTTAATAATGACGATTTAATCATGCAGGCCAAGACTGCAGCGCAGTGTTCAGATTAAAGATACAAAACATGTTAGAATCTGCTTAGATACACTTTTATTTACGGATTGACGGATGGACGGATAGATGGATGGATGGACGAACAGATGGACAGATAGATGGATGGATGGACGGACCAACATATATATATGTTTAGACAGATGGATGGATGGATGGACGGACGGACGGACCAGCAGATAGATATGGTTAGACACAGATAGATAGATAGATAGATAGATGGATGGATGAACAGATGGACAGATAGATGGATAGAGAGATGGATGGATGGACGAACAGATGGATGGATGGACAAACAGATAGATGGATAGATGGATGGATGAACAGATGGATGAACAGATGGACAGATAGATGGACAGACAGATAGATGGATGGATGGACGGACTGACAGATAGATATGGTTAGACACAGACAGACAGACAGACAGATAGATAGATAGATGAACAGATGGATAGATAGATAGATGGATGGATGGACGAACAGATGGACAGATAGATGGACAGATAGATAGATGGATAGATGGATGGATGAACAGATGGATGAACAGATGGATGAACAGATGGATGAACAGATGGATGAACAGATGGATGAACAGATGGATGAACAGATGGATGAACAGATGGATGAACAGATGGATGAACAGATGGATGAACAGATGGATGAACAGATGGATGAACAGATGGATGAACAGATGGATGAACAGATGGATGAACAGATGGATGAACAGATGGATGAACAGATGGATGAACAGATGGATGAACAGATGGATGAACAGATGGATGAACAGATGGATGAACAGATGGATGAACAGATGGATGAACAGATGGATGAACAGATGGATGAACAGATGGATGAACAGATGGATGAACAGATGGATGAACAGATGGATGAACAGATGGATGAACAGATGGATGAACAGATGGATGAACAGATGGATGAACAGATGGATGAACAGATGGATGAACAGATGGATGAACAGATGGATGAACAGATGGATGAACAGATGGATGAACAGATGGATGAACAGATGGATGAACAGATGGATGAACAGATGGATGAACAGATGGATGAACAGATGGATGAACAGATGGATGAACAGATGGATGAACAGATGGATGAACAGATGGATGAACAGATGGATGAACAGATGGATGAACAGATGGATGAACAGATGGATGAACAGATGGACAGATAGATGGACAGATAGATAGATGGATGGATGGACGGACCGACAGATAGATATGGTTAGACACAGACAGACAGACAGACAGACAGACAGACAGATAGATAGGATATGGTTAGACACAGACAGACAGACAGACAGACAGACAGACAGACAGATAGATAGATAGATGAACAGATGGATAGATAGATAGATGGATGGATGGATGAACAGATGGACAGATAGATGGATGGACGAACAGATGGACAGATGGATGGATGGACGAACAGATGGACAGATAGATAGACAGATAGATGGATGGATGGACGAACAGATGGACAGATAGATGGATGGATGGACGGACCAACAGATAGATATGGTTAGACAGACAGACAGACAGACAGATAGATAGATGGATAGATGGATGGATGAACAGATGGATGAACAGATGGACAGATAGATGGACAGATAGATGGATGGATGGACAGACCGACAGATAGATATGGTTGGATTGATGGATGGATGAATGAACAGATGGACAGATAGATGGATGGATGGACGAACAGATGGACAGATAGATAGACTGATAGATGGATGGATGGACGAACAGATGGACAGATAGATGGATGGACGGACGGACCAACAGATAGATATGGTTAGAGACAGACAGATAGATAG